ACTTGAAGCCCCACCATCCCTCGGGTGTTGTCCTTTCTCCGCATGGTCCAGGATGGTCCCTAACACGTCCTCATTTCCTTCAACAGGAATGGGAGAAGGCAAAGGGGAGGATATGTCTGTTGCATTCAAGGGTATGTATTAGCTAAGCAACAGGCTATGGTGCTGCAACAAAGGGGCCCTAAAACAAGGTGGCTTGAATAAGACAGAAGTTCACTCCTCTCTCGTGTCCAGTGGTGGGTGTCGGAAGAGGAGAGGGCCAGTCATCTGCCTCATCAGCCTCAGTTTCCTTATCCACAAGACAGGGGTGGAAACTCGCCTCCCAGGTTTGGTGACCTCAGGTGTGGGAAGTGTTTGGTTTCACATCCTGTCTCTTCTCTTACTTCTTCCCCTCTCCCTCTGGATGGCCAGCCCTTCGGAAGCAGCAGGAAGAGGTGACTGCGTCTACACAGCCTTCTCCTCTGCTGGAGGAACCCATTCCCCCTCCTTGTTCCATCTCTCCTTCCTTGGAGGACATTTGCTGTGGGGACCTTGCTGTAAACTGGCTCCACGCTGACACTGTCAATGCTCCTCTCCAGGAGGCTCTGACATGAGGGTAACAAGGCCACCTCTCTTCTGGATGCTTGTGACTTCCTGATCTTCGGTATTCACCAAAGAGTGGGAAGCCTATTACCTGAGGCATTTAAATGATTTTGGGTGGGTCACAAACTTCTTATAAATATGCTGATTCACACCATTGTTCTTTCAATCCAGACAAAGAGAAAGTCTTAGGTTGGTGCTGCTGCATTATGAACGCCTCTCTCACACTTGCTAAGCTCCCTTTTCAACACAGAGGAGGCCTTAAGTTCAGAGCCCTCAGGAGACAACAGTATTTACCAAGAATTTAGTGAAGCTGTGTTGCTTTCACAGTATTCTTATGGTTTCTTCCTGTTTCTGTAATTGATACTCATTTTCTCTTCCTCACAACAATGAATATTTTACAGCATTAAGTCAAACCATGTCAGTCCGCTGTTCAAAATCCTCCGGGGGCATCCCAGGACATTCAGAAAAAATCTGAAATGCTTTCTGTGGTCTGGAAGATTCTTCATTATCTGACCCCTGCTGACCTCTTCCTGCTCTTCTGCTGTCACTCTTCCCTTCACTCACTCCTCCTTGACGTTCCTCCAATATGGGAAGCTCGGTCTCACCTTAGGGCCTTTGCACTTGCTGGACCTCCTGCCTGGGACAGATGGTCTCCCCCTAGATCTTTCCATGGCTCACTCTAGTCCTTCATGCAGGTCTCTGCTCAGATGTCACCACCTCAAAGAGTCTCTCTCTGTCTACCCTAGCTAAAACAGCAGGCAAACATCCCCTTCCCGTGTCTCTTTAGCCCCTTATCTCTTCTTAGCACTCCTTGCTGACATGTGTCTGTCTGTCCGTCTATCTATCTATCTATCTAATCTATCTACCTACCTACCTATCTATCATCTATGTATCTATCTAATCTCTCTATCCATCTATTTATCTACTTTTCCCTCCTTCCTCCCTCTCCCTCCCCTTCCTTCTCCTCCTCCTCCTTCCTCTCGCGCTCTCTCTCTCATTTCTTGAGTCTAATTTCTCTCCCCCACTAGAATGTCAGCTTTGTGAGGACAGCCCCTTGTCTTCTTCACTGCTGTACCCCAGGCTCTAGCACAGTGCCTGGCACACAGTAGAAACACAATGAATATGTATTTGAGAGAAAAAAATAATTAATATAGTTTCCTCTTAAAATACACTTATTGAAGTTGAAAAGCAGGTCACTTTAAAGTAAAGCTTTCGGTAAGTCAGCTGTGTAGTGCAATTTGGCAAACTACAGTCAGGTGCTCAGTGATGGGCACACATCATGAAAGGGCTACGCATAAGACCTGGGTTTGGGAAGTGCTTCCCTGAAGTGATTTTGGGGATATCTGGGAGAAGGAGAAGAATTTCCCACCACCCGCCCTGCAGATTAATGAACCGACCACATCTCTTTTCTGGTTGGTGCTAATGACCTTGGAGCACCTATCAGGCACCCCAAACTTGTAGATTTCTTTGGTGCCCCCCCAATTCTGAACCGCCACCTGGTTCTTGCCCTTGTTACCAAGCAATGGACTCACTCTGCTCGCCGCGATCAGAGTCAATTAATCACAACGAGTTAGGAATCGAGAAATGAAGTTTTAATTCGATTAGCCATCATAACTGGGAAGATGTCTCAAAAAAACATCTTCCAAGATTACAGAATCTTGAGGCAGTTATATAGGGAAAATGGGCAGTAGGGAGAGGGTCCAGGGATGTTGGTCTCCAGGCGTGACAGTCTCCAGGCATCACATTGATCCATTCTTCTGTCAGCTGTAATGGATACCTTGTAGGTGTGTTTCCCACCTGCGGTCAGCCTGTTCCTGTAAAGAAACTCATAGAACAAAGTTTTTAATTTATCAAGCTATTGGGGAGTACATACATAAGTGGAGGCCATAAATCAGGAGAGCATGTGAATTTTTTGGAGTACGTGCAGAGCAGTGAGTAGCCACATGGAGGAGGGCCTGGGGCCATTTAGTGTAACAAGATGGCCTCACTTATGCTCACTTACACCCTCACTATCCTCCTCACCCAGGGCCCGATGCCCTTGGAGGCTGCTGGGACAGTTCCTCAATCATTTCTAAGCACCTACTATGAGCCCAGCCCTGAACTAAGTGATTGAGATGTGTCATCTCTAAATGGTAAGAAGTATCGTCCCCATTATACAGATGAGCAATTGTGCAAGTCACACACCTGATTGTGCTGCAGAGCCACAGAGACAGATGTAAGCAGTGGTGTGCTGGTAATACGTTGAGATAGGAACGACTTTTCCCTCCAGGTCTCTTTTCCTCCATGTTCAATTACACCCCCTCCCTCCTTTTCAATTCAAGCTGCCTGGCTTCCCAGTTTGCTTGGCACTGATTTCCAAAAGCCATGATTCTTTAAGGAGATTGAACTGGGATCCTCAAAAGCCCTTTCAGAGGCAAGGGCATCAAGAGTGGAGGCACAGACTAAAGGCCATGATTTAGCCACAGGTGTGTTTTGTGGAGCTGAAAAACTATTTTTCAATTAAAAATCAATTGCCACTATCAAAAAATAAAAATTTTGCACCAAAGTTTGAATTTCTGGATTTTCTTGAAAATTCAGATGGTCAGGCCACATCAGGTCTACATTCCTACACGGCAGCCACCAGCTAGAATTGAGCATCAGCCATTCCGTCCCTTAGAGAGGGGCTGTGCTCGCCCGTTTCCACAGACCTCACTACTCCCTATTGTCTTACTACAACGGGCTTCACTCTTTTACATTTCCTGCCAGATCTATGAGTTTATCATCCTGATCAAAAAATGGAAGAATTTACCCTAGGACTAGAAAACATTCTCCTAGGCTGACAGGAGAGAAAAGAGAATTGAGAGAGGGTTGGGAGTCTCTGGAGAAAGAACTGGACCTGAAGGGGCTACAAGGACTGATATAAGCAGTGTGTGCTGGTAAAAGTTTAATAACTGCTCTCCAGGAAATAAAAACGTGTGTGTCTATAAATTTTACTGGGATAAAGGATGTGTTTGTTGCACAAAATTTACAAATAATAATAAACACTTTATTGTAAATACTCTTTATTATAAATTCCATAGAGCCAATTAGTTCTCACAGAATATTTTTGTTAATTTTTTGCCAAACTCTTGAATCCAAAACCAACTATCACTGCAATTTAGCCATGACTTGACAAAATTAGACTATGGATAAATGCTTGATAACAATACGACTTGGCAAAGAAATCGCTCACCCCACTGAAGAACAAGTGTAGCTCAGACGTGAAAGTGGTTGCAATTTTTGTTCACATTAATGAGAAAGAGGAAAGTAAAACGATGAAGATGTACGTCAGAGCTCCTTCATCTCTGACACGAGCAACTTGTTTGCTGAACTAGATAACAGTGTTCGAATACTGGAACAATATTCTTCCCATTTTTTGTGCTACTCACAATGTATTGGCTACAGACACATTTTTAAGTTTAATTTAACATTTTATCCATTCCAACGTTCTTAAGACTGGAAAATTGAGAGAACAAGAAATTAAGACCTGATTTGTAGTGTTCCTTAATCTCCGTGATGTAAATACACTCCCATGGCCAGTTTCCAGCAACCAAGCTGACGTCATTTAACGCAGAATTGGGAAGAAATATGCAGTTTCTCCCCTCTGTCCCTCATAAGATATAATAGATGTAAATAACCTCAAGAGCACAGACAATAGTAAAATGTAGTAAAATAAGAAAGTGATGAGTTTTTAGTATTTATTACCTTTGTTTTTAATATAATTTACTTAATTATACGTTTAAATAATTTAATTTTTTTAATGGCTGTGTTTAACAACCAGTTTGCAAAAATCCTGAAAATTTAACAATCAGCTTTCAGGAGCCAGTACAAGCCGGCCCCAGTACAGCACTGGATATAAGGGAAGCATCTAGAAATGAGGGGAGAGGAGAAGTTGAGGGCCAGAGTCCTGTGGGGGCTGCATCAGCACCCATGTGAGCACGCATGGTGACAAAGATGGTCCGACGCCAGCACCCTGGACCTACTCCAGCTCTTCGTTCTCGTCAGCACCCAGGAGCTCCTTCTTGCTGGACCCTTCCTTTAGTGACCTCCGGCCTCCATCTCCACTTGACTCACCCCTTGGGGGATGACCCTTTACAATGTCCCAAAGGTGAGGACCTGGGTAACACGGCGAGCAGAACCCCATGCCCCGACTAGCTGAATGGGATCCGATGAAGACTGTTCTGAAGGGACACAGGGGTAAAACACACCCCCGGGGGTGTAATCATCCCCATTCTGCAGATGCAGAAACTGAGGCTTGAGGGAGTAGTTACTTACTCAAGGTCAACAGCTGCCAAGAGGTGGAGGCAACACGGACAACCAGGTACGCCGCCTCCAGACCCATCTCCTGTCTGCAAAGCCCTCCCTCAGCACCCTGGAAACAGCTCCTGGAGCTCGGTGCAAGCACTGTGACGCTCTTGGATTTCAGTGCACAGAACTCTGGAATCTCATTTACCTCTCCCCTAATTAAAACTCATATCCCCCGAAGAGATGACTAGCAACTTGAGAGCAGGGCCTAGGTTGGATATTTGTCATATTACCAGCATTTAGAATTCCAGCTCACTGGCGCCAGAAGAGATCTTAACTACTTGGGCCAGGTCGCCCATTGTACATACGGGGGAAACCGAGGCCCACGGTCATTCAGCAATAACACCAGCAGAATCAGAACTAGAACAGTCTGAGTTGCTGGTGGATAATAAATATTCTGGGAAGGAGAATTAGAGGGGTTGAGCAAAACTAAGAACTAAGAACCAAAAAGCAGGTTTCTCTCTCACCAAAAAGTCCTCCCCAGATGGAAAAAGAGAGTGGAGTCATGTGGTATCCTCAGCTGGATTTAGGGGTCATACCAGGAGAGACTTCCTGCCAGGGTTGGTACCCTAGATTCTCTGAGAAAGCCCTAGAGCAACAGAGACTCCATAAGATGTTCTCCTTGGAAGTACTGCAGAGATTCAGTCAGTGGGGAAACCGAGGCAAGAGAGCAGATGCTTAGGAACCCTCAGAGCCTGAGACTCAAAATGAAGACTTGGGGGTTCTCCGACTTTCATCCCTTTCACCCCAGCAATAAAACGTCTTCTGAAGCAGGGACAGCTCTTGAAGACCACCTAGCACTTGTGCTCCGGGGCCTAGACAAGCAGGAAGCTGGAGACTGTCTGCTGAAGCCATGGTTCCAGCATCTTCCAGGCAGATGGACCCCTCAGGAGGCTGCCGAGACCTCGATGCGGCTGTACTGGACGCCAGCTGAGCTCTGCCTGTGGCCAAAGCTCAGGGCGAACCTGTCGAGCACAGTGAGTGGAGTCAGAGGGTGGCAGGGCCTGGGGGCCTTCCCGGGGGAGACAGGAGTGGACCATCCCCCGGGACCCCCACCCTACCCCACCCCCACCCCTACGCTGCCCTTCCTGCTTCCTGCCTTAGTGTGAGCATTTCCATCTTCTGGACTGCTCTGCCCTCGTCTCCCTGTGTCCGCCCTCGCCCCCCACAGCCTGTTCTCCATCACAGCTGGAGGGACCTTTCTAAGCACAGAGACCAGCTCCTGTCACTCCTGCTTAGAAAGAGCCGCCCCCTTATCATGCTCAGCCTAACATCCAGGCCCCTCTCTGCGGCCGGCCTCTCCCACATCACCTCCTTCTGCTCCCACTTGCTCGTCACCCCCGGCCACGTGGGTCTCCTGTCTCTCTCATCAAATTACCCTACTTGCTCCTACCCCAGGGCCTTTGCATTTGCTGTTCCCTCCCCTAGAACACTTTCTTCCAGCTCTTAGAAAGTTTGGCTTTTTCTCATCATTCAGGTCTCAGCTCAACTGCTGCCTCTTCAGAGAGGCCTTCCTTTCCTTCAGTAGAGACAGATTCACCGATGACCTGTGATGTGCCGGCCACTGCCCTAGGCCCTGGGAATAGAGCAGCGAATGACACAGGTACACAGAAATATCCCCACGGTCATGAAGAATTTATGGTAAATTTGGATCATGAATGTACCTGTGGTACACCTGTACTCTAGCTAAAGAAACTGGACACCCCCCAAATCGACGTTCTGATGTGTTCACTTGCTGATAGGTTAACCTGCCTATTTTCCTCACAGTATAAACGCCACTCTGAAGTTAACTTATCCGTGCATTTATGTGTTTTGTAGTCTCTCTCCCCCTTACATTAAAATGTACCTTCCCTCTAAGTCCAGAGACAGGGTCTCTCTTGGGCACGGGTCTGTCCCCAGAACCCAGTACAGTGCCTGGCTCCTAGCTGGCACTGGAAAATATTTGCTGAAAGTGAATAAATGGATTCCTGAGAAATTGGGATAAAAGACGGATTTCTGAAAGTTCTTTTTTGTGATCATATCATCCTGGGAATGGACGGGTCTCTTCTGAACCTAAGTAACTTGATTAGAAAGAGAAAGGAACAACCCCACTGACCACAGATTGCAAGAGGGTCTGAGCCCCTTGGTTACTAGTGTGTCCCTAAAGGAATTGAGGAAGTGGACAGGTAAGATGCAGGCCCCTATTTCCCACAAGCACTGAGGCGTGAGGACACGAAGAGAAGTAAGCCCCAGAGCAGTGGATGTTGGCTCTATCCAGCATCCATTCTCCCATTTCCTTCCGGAATGAGGTCTCCTGTGCTGCGTATGGTCTTGGTAGGACTGTCAATCAAGAAGCTTTGCCCTATCCTGGCCAAGCTGGGGGCTAAGGGGTGGGCACAAAAACCAGGCTTTGGCCAATCAGACTTTCTCCAGGGAATGTGACTCTCTTATGGAGCAACAAAGGACTGAAGACAGTTGGTGCTGAAAAGACTGTCCCCTTAGTGCCTGCTGTCAGCATCCCTGGAACCTCCCTTGTCCCCACGCTCCCCAAGGTCAAGATTCTCTCTCTATCTCTCTGTGGCCTCTCATATTAGGGGCCCCTGAACTACAAGGACTGGAGTCATGACTCTCCCAAACTCAGACCTGCCTCTGGCCCCTGCCAAAGCCCCTAACTTCCTGTCTTCTCCAGAGGTCATGGCAGACCCAGCCTCCTTTCTCCAAGGGCTGGCCAGGCCCCCCCATGTGGTCCTGAGTCCCCAGATCCAGCGTGACACTCCCTCAGCTGCAATCACGTGCTGCCTTCCCCCCAAGCTGGCTTCCACCTGCCTCTCTACCTACTTTGCTCTTTGTTCTGGAGGAGGGGTCTGGAATCTTCTCCCAGGAAAGCCAGTATGGCAGAGATCCCAGGTGGCTCTTGGTGTCTGTACCTCCTTTATGTCTAGTAACAGCACCCTTGATTTTCAGCTGGGTACATGGCTACTCAGACTAAAGATAATGTTCCTCAGCCTCCCCTGCATGGAGGAGTAGCCAAGTTCTGTCAAAAGGGATGTGGGCGGAAGTAACGTGTGCATCTTGCAGGTCGGGTCCTCCTCTTCCCCTGCCCTCCTGCAGGAATGTGGTGGTTCACGTCACGGGCCACGTGGAAAAGGTCCTGTTGAATAGACGGCAGAGCAACAAGACAGAAGGAGCCTGGGACCCGGGATGACCTCTCGGAGCACAGCCCTGGACTCTCAACATCCGGACTATTCCAAGCAGCCAAACCTATTTCCTAACTAACATGGCTGGGTTGCCGAGGGGCCTGCAGCAGGTGCCATCCAACAAACTTGGGGTGTTCAGCTGGCAGAGAACACTCCGGGATGGGGTGGACTGGGTTAGAGGTTTTTACACTGGACTAATGCTGCATCCCTGCAGGGGCCACGCTGGGGTGGGACTTGGCAGACAGCTGCAGGGAGGCGATTTCCAATTCAGTATTTGATTGCTTTCCTTTTTAATCTTTTAGAGCCTCCCAGGAATAGGATGGTAGTCGGGAGCTGGTGACTCCCTTTACTGCAAGCAGTAACCAGGGCATTTGCCAAGGATGCTCAGGATTATAGTGCTTTCATGTCCCTTCCGATCCTCTATTCCTCTCTTCTCTTATTCGAATGGCCCAAGGTCCCATGATGCTAAGATTCTGAACTCCTCTCTGGGACCTAAAGACCTTACGTGACCTACCTCCTACCCACACAGCTGATCTGATCTTCTACCCCTCCTCCTTCCTTCCCTCCCTTTGTTCCAGCCACACTGGCTTCCTTGCTGTTCCGTGCACATGCACATACACTCCCAACCTCAGGGCCCTTGCACTTGCTCTTCTCTCTGCTAGAACTCTCCTCCTCCTCATCTTTACATGGCTGCCTCCTTCTCAGTAACTTAAATTGCACCTCCTCAGAGAGGCTGTGCCTCTCTGACCACCTACTCTAAATTAGCCACACCCCCTGGCCCTCTGTCCCCCTCTCTGCCAATAGGGCTCTCTCAATGAATTTTGCTGTTTTCTTTTCTGCCAACAACACACCACTCACTGAAATACTCTTGTTGATGGCTTATTTGTGACCCCTCCTCCACTAGAATGGAAGCTCCGTGAGGACAAGGACCTTTTCCCTCTTAATCTCGGCCACATTTCCTACGGCCCAGAACACTGCATGGTACATAGCAGGGACTTAATAAATATCCTCCAAATGAGTGGATTAAGCCCACAGTTCTTTGTGTGTGATTTTAAAAGGCCACGGTTATAGTGTTTTGTTTCTCCAAGCTTCCACAACTGTAAGAGTCTGTGGTTTTAGGATTGTACTATTCTAACCTCCGGTGAGTCCATAACTGCATGATTTTAAAATTCCTATGAGCTGGGCCTTAAAGTCACATGAAACTCTGCTGTAGGAAGACACCAAACAACTCAAGGAAAACAGCTCATGTATGAAGACAGGACAAAACTCATGTGTCCAGGCAGGAAGAGAGGCAGGAAGAGAAGAAAAAGGCTTTCCTGCAAAGGGCAAGTGTGAGGACTAAATGCTGAAGCGAAGTGCTCGGGGATGAGGCGACTCTCCCCCCAGGCCGGCCCTGTCCCCGCTTACCGTCTCCTCTGGAATTGCTGGTCTATCTCTGCCAACGACTGGCCTTTTGTTTCAGGGACACACAAATAGATGAAGCCCAGGCCGAGGATGGCGGTCAGCCCGTACAGCAGGAAGGTCCAGGACAAGCCGATGGCGCCTGGGGACAGGGGGCGGGAGTGTGGGTGGGGCGAGCCGGGGCCAACTGGCCGGTCCACCCACAGCAGACTCTCCAGACTTGCAGACTTGCATTCTGCTGACTTGCAGAATGGCCAACAAGCTGTCAGATCAGAACCTTAAAGCAGGAGGAGGGCTGCTTGTCCCAGAGGCAGACACGGGCCGAGGCCCAAATCCACAAACACAGAGAAGGGCGTCCGGTCTCTACGGGAAAGCCCACTCGCCCACTCGCCCACACCTACAACACTAACCAGCAACACGCGCTGTGTCTGCAAACGTGAACGGGGCGGGGCGGCGGGAGATGACATTGACCTCAGCAGCAAAACAGCTGCAGGATGCGGCCCTGGCAAAGCCCAGCTCTGGAAAGAAAACCCTCAGAAATTCCATGAATTGCTAATTCGGTGAATTGAGCGTTCAGGGAATTGTGTTTCGGCCAACTCTGTCTGACTGGTCGTCGGGGAGAGAGGACAGAAGCCTCAGTATCCCAGCCGCTCCCTCTTCCTGGAGCCTCGGCGGGGGGTGGGGACAGGGTCTCAGAGCCAGCAACCAGGACCCCTGGGACGACCCTGACTCCTCTGAAGTCAATCAACCCAAGACAGAGAAAGGAGGCTGTGAAGGATGGGGCTTTGTTGGGGCAGAGGCAGAAATTATGTGTCAGACACCACCGCCATCTTCACCTCTAACAGCCCTGGCCACACCTCCTCCAAGCAGCCTGCCCTGACCAGCTTGCCCTCCACTTAGTTCTTATAACGGCAGGGCACGAGCTGGGCTGGGAGGCAGAGGGCTGGGTTCTAGTCTTCTCACCCCGCTGGTCTTGGAAGGCCGTTATTTCCCCATTTGTGAAATGGGGATGAGAAGGATATGATACAATTCTAATAAACCCTCCCTTCCTTCTTTTTTTCCTTCTTTTCTTCCTTCCTCAGTCTCTCCCTCCCTTCCTCCCTGTCTCTCACTCACTCCTCATTCCACCTAAGGGGAATGTTCGAAGACTGAGGCCGCAGGAAGAAGCTTGGATTCCCTAAGACTGGGGCTGGGAGACAAGCAGGGTGGATGGGTTTTTCTACCAGTGTTTCTCACAGTCCCCCAGGGGTGGCTATGCCTTTGAGGAGGAAACACTTGGCTGCAGGAAATGGGAAAATAACTGAACCCTGAGAACTGAGCCTGTGGCCCACAGTGAAGGAGCCCCGCCTACTTTGGCCCCAGTGACCAGTGGCCTTGGGCCACGAGCATCTCAGCGTCTCAGAGACCCTTCCCCGGTGTTCTGGGCCCATATAATTTCCAGCCCACCCCATCACTGCTTAGACTGGGTTTGAATGCTAGGTGGAAAGAGAGGATGCCACCCAAACTAGATCTGAGAAGACCTTCCTGCTGGCAGGAGGGCATGAGCCAGTTTGAGCTGGTTTAGAATAAGAAGAAAAGGTTGTGGCTCCTGCACCTGCTGTGCTCTCACCAGCACTGGTGTAGACTATCACATGTTATCAGGCCTGGAGAATTTTACAGCGTGTCTGAGGGTTCTGGATGTTGTCAGACACTTTCGTGGAGCTTCTGCACCAAGATTTATTTGAAGAGCAGTTCTGTTGCTACAAATAGGAAAATTTTAAAAACTCCCCTGCTTTAGAGTGGGTACTTTGGGCTACAGAGAAGAGAACGGATTTGTCTGGGGGAGGGAGGGCAGAGCCCCACACTCAGGTCTCCAGATTTCCGCATCCCCCCCATCCGGAGTTTGCTGCCTTCCCCCCACCACACTAATCAGAGATGGCTTCCTGGAGGAGGAGAACTGGATGCTTCAGCTCTTCCCCTCCTTCAGCCTCAACTCCCAGGCTGCCAATCAAGCCAGCCCACCCACTAATGGGGCCTGGAATGAGGTAGAAGCTTCAGTCATATCTTCTGTTGTCTTTGTCTCCCAGCCTCTCCTCCCCCTTTTTCTGATAGCGGCACTGCAATTTTCCTTTGGGGAACCATCCCCCTGACCCCAGTCCATGCTGTTGGGTGAGGCTGTCCCCACCCCGTGGCTCCAGGGTGGGTATATGCCCAGGCCTGGGCATTCGAATATGCCAGCCCTCCAGCTACAGTGATTGGTTCAGGGATGGGCATGTGACCTTGCTGAGCCAATGAGAGTCACTCCCAGGACTTGAGCAAGAGCCCTGGGAAAGAAATGCTCTCCTGTCACGGGGCTGCCAAGCTGGAGATCTGCTGGCCGCCATCTTTGCCACCGTGAGGGGGTCTGCCTGCGAATGAAGCCCGCAGCGCGGGAGGCAGAGCCGAGAGAGTGAAGGATGGCCGACAGGTTTGTTGGAGTCATCAAACACATGGCTCTGACATTTTGTTGGAGCCTCTGGATCAGCTGTGCTTGAAGCCAACCACCCTCTTCTCTTCAGTGATTTCAGACAAAAATATTACCTTTTGTTCATCCATTGGTTTGCACTGGGTTTTCTGTCACTTATACCCTGACAGATACAGAAGCCGTGGCTCTGTCTGGAGGAAACTGTTCCTGGATCTAGAAGGAATTGGGCCAAGGAATTAGGTCAGAGAACTCACCGATGAGGTCGAGGAAGAAGAGGCTGATGAAGAGGTTGGTGGCCCAGTTGAAGCTGTTGCAGAAGGCGAAGGCCCTCCCTCGGATCTCCACGGGGTAAATCTCGCTGAGGACAAGCCAGGTCACTAGGACAGGAGAGCAGGGAGGGCTCCTAGGCTGCGGCCAGGACCTGGGGCCTGGCACCCATGGTCCAGCAGGCCATCCCCCCAACAATGTGGTTCAAGCAGAACGGCAGGCTCCTGACAGCCAGTTCTCCCTGGCTGCTTCCCCACACGCCTGTAAGAATCCTCTAGAGTGACCCGCGGTCTCGGTTTGCCCCGGACTGAGGGGTTTCCTGGGACACGAGACCTTCAGTGTCCTGGGCAAACTGGGATGGCTGGTCACCCTATTCATTAAATTCCTTTCAAGTAAACCCTCTTGAGTGAGCTATCCAGGGGCACATTTAGGTTTTATGAGGCCTGAAGCTTAACCGATTTGGGGCCTTTATAAGAAAAAAATCACAAACAAAAAACTAGGCCCCCGCCCTCACAAGGAGTGCCTGCAGTGAGCTGGGAGCCCTGAGGCTTAAGCTTCACGCGCTTCATGGTCAAGGCACCGCCAGTGTCCCTCTGAGACCCTGAATGATTCGGTCCCCAAGCTTCCCGCTAGAAGGGGTGGAAGGCTCCAGAGTTACCTGCAAGAAAACTCCCACCTACCTGGTCCAAACCCAAAGGAGAAGGCGCTCACAAAGACCATCATGCAGACCAGCGCAGTCCAGTGCAGCAGGGCCTGCTCTGGGGCGGGAGAAGGGGACGCGGGGGAGGCGGGGCTTAGGGCTGGCAGGAGAGGGGCTGTGGGGTTCCCAGCTTCGGGATGAGGCTTGGTTTTCTTAGAGGTTGACAAGACTGGCTCCGCTTGGCTCTTGCTGATTGTTGGCAGCGGAGGTGGCGATATGCCCCTTGGCAGGCCAGAGTCCCCAGAGAGGCCTGACAGCCTGGTGGCGTTGGGCATGGCCAGGCAACTTGGGCCCGAGTCCATGGGCACAGCAAAGCTGACGAGGCCCATGCCGCTGACAGACAGGGCCATGAGGGCACAGCCAGCTAGTAGCAGGGCCCTGCGGCCCGCTCGGTCCACCAGCCCCATGGCGGTCAGGGTAGCTGCCACCTTCACGGCGCCAAGCCCCACAGAGGCCAGCACAGCTGAGGATCCCCCTCGGAAGCCGACCGAGCGGAAGATGGTGGAGGCGTAGCACAGCACATTGGGCTGCCCTGTCAGCTGCTGGAAAAGTACCAGCCCCAGCCCCACCGTGGTCCTGCCTCGCATGTTATCCCGCGCCCTGAAGAGGTCCAGAAAGGAGTATCTTGGCCTCCCCAGGCCCAGCTTGGTGGCTTCACCTCCCTGGAGAGGGATGAGGTCCTTGTGGGCTGCAGCCTCATCTGTACGAGCAGGGAGAAAGAGGAGGCTGAGGGATTGCAGGAGAGCAGGCGCGGCGGCCCAGCCAAACATATGCCTCCATCCCCAGGGGGCACCGGCCAGTGCGTAGTTGAGTGCGTAGGAGAGCAGGATGCCCAGGGTGATGCCTGCCTCATAGAGGGACACCAGCACTCCCCGCTGCCGTGGCCCCACCAGCTCTGACACGTAGATACAGCAGGCCATGGAGGAGAGGGAGATGGCGAAGCCAGCTGCTGACCGGCCCAGGACCAGCCAGGTCAGAGAGCTAGCCAGGCCCAGGCTCAGGCTGCCTGCCAACAGCACCAAGTTGCTCCCGAGGATGGCTTGTTTCCTGCCATAGCGGTCGATGAAGAAGCCCCCTACCAGGGAGGCGAGGAGAGCCCCCAGGAGCAGGCTGCCCACCAGGAGCTCCTGCTCCAAGCAGCTTAGCCCGAAGTCAAGCTGCAGTGGCAGCAGGGCACCTGATATGACTGCCAGTTCATAGCCAAAGGTCAGGCCACCCAGCAAAGACACAGAGGCACACAAGGGCAGGAGCGGTAGGGGGCGGCCTGGAAAACAAAAGCGATGGGGCAGAGTTCAGGATGGTTCCTTGCCAGAGATCCACCCATCCAACCTCCCCTCCCTCTGTCAACCCCTCCATCTATCCATCCAGCTACTGCATCTACTTATCTATCCACTCATCCATTCTCTACTCCATCCATCCATCCATTCATTTATTCATCCATCCATCCATCCATCCATCCATCCATCCATCCATCCATCCACTTCTTCCTTCATCCGTCCACCCTCCATCCATCCACTCCATCCATTCACCCACCCATCCATCTACCCATGCATGCATTCATGCATCCATTCATTCATCATCCATCCATCCATCCACTTCTTCCTTCATCCATCTCTCCCTCCACTCATCTGTCTACTTTATCCATTCACCCATCCATCCATCTATCTATGCATCCATCCACTCCTTCCTTCATCCATCCAGCCTTCTATTTATTGATCAATCTATCCATCTATCCCTTCATCATCCACTCCTCCATCCATCCATCTGCCCCATCCACCACATCTTCTTCCATCCATTTGTCTGTTCATCTACTCCTTAATTCACCTAACCATCCATCTATTTATTGATCCACCTATCCAAAAATACATCCATTCATCCACCCATCTTTGTATTCCATTCCTTATGTACCCATCCATCCAGGCACGCACCCATCCATCCATCCACGCATCCATCCATCCATCCAATCATTCAAAAATTTATTTATCTGGCATCTACAACATGCCAGGCAGTGTTCTCAGGGCTGGAAATACAGTGATGTTGTCAAGGACCTCACATTCTAATAGAAAAAGACAGATGATAAACAAATAAATGCATAATATAACTTCAGGTGGTGACAGGTGTCATTAAAAAAAAAAAGAAAGCAGGGAAAGGGGATTGAGAGTGATGGAGAAGTTCTATTTTAACCAAGGTAGTCAGTTAAGGCTTCTTCGAGCAGAGATACGAATGACGTGAGGGTGAAAGCCATGTAAAATCTGGGAGAAGAACATTCTAGAAAGAGGAAACAGCAAGAACAAAGGCCTTGAGGTAGGATAGTTTTTGGTATGTTTGAACAACAACTATTACTATTAATAGCTCGTGCTTATATGGCACTTACCAAGTGCCAGGCCCTGTTTTAAGAGTTTTACATGTATTTACTCATTTAATTCTTGCAACAACCCTATAACATAGTATTATTAGCATCATCCTCCAAGGCACAGGGAGGTTAAGAAACTTTCTCATGGTCACACAGAAAGTAACTGGCAGAGCTCACGTGGCTAGAGAGTGCAGCCTTTTAATCACTGTGTTATTCAGCAAGGAGCTCAGAGTGGCTGGAGCCCAGTGAGTGAGAGTGGCGGAAGATGATGAGGCAGGAGAATTAGGCATGGGCCAGATCAGGCGGAGCTTGGTAAGTCATGAAGACAGTGATGAAGTTCATTCTCAGTGGATGGAAGCCCTCGGAGGCTTGAGCTGGGGAGAGAGATGATCCATGGTGGTCACCAGCACATGTAGATATCGGGCACTTCAAATGTGGCTAATGTGATGGAGGAACTGAATTTTTAATTTTAATTAATTTAAATGTGAGAATAGCCACATGTGGCTAGTGGCTGCCATATTGGCAGTGCAGTTATACAGGTTACTCTTAATTTTTAATTCACACACTTAAACTTAAATATTTCTGGAAGCATCTAGAGTAATCCAGCAGTATACATCTCACCCACCCCACCCTGGACCTGACAAGAACATTCATAACACTATATAGCCAGGTTTATTGAGTGTTTTCTCTGGATAGGGAGCTGCTGTGAGCCCTTTAAGTGCAATAACTCATGTAATCCTCACCACAACTTTATGAGGGAGGTGGGCTTCTGTAGGATTTGTGAATGAATACACTGATCATCAGAGACGTGAATGACTTGCCTAAGGTCAAAAGTAGTAAGTAGCTGGGCCTAGATTCAAAGCCAGGCGGTCTGGCTCCACAGTCTGTACCCTTACCCACTCCATTACAAAACCGTGGCATGATGATGATTTCGCTCTGTTCTCTCTTCTGCCTCGTCCCATCTCTGTTAGGCAATTTTTGTGCAGGGGGAGGAGTTTCATGGGTGGAGGAATCATTCTCCCCTTTCTGCTCATCCTTCTCCTGACCGCCCCTGCCCCGCAGGGAAATAACCCCCTACCATTCCCTGGCTGGCCTCCTCCTTCCTGTTCACGACCATCAATAAACCCCCCAGGGAAGCTGCCCAGGTCCTGCCCGGTCTTCAGCTCCCTGTGCCCCGCCTCCCTCAGTTCCTGGTGTTTACTGCAGAAGGGAAGGTTCTTCCAGGCCATATGAGGCAATCAAGTGAAAACACAGAATTTGTTTGCCATTTCCTCTGTTCCTCTTGAGGTGAGAGGGAACCCAGCCAAGGGGCTCAGAGGCAAAGTCGACTGTCCACAGGCTCCGCTGGAAAAGGCCTCAGGGCAGATCTGGGTCACAGCAGTAAGAGCCGAACAGCAAAAATAAGATAGTAACAATAACAGGTGTCTTTTATTGAGCATCTCCTCTACGCAAAGACTTTAGGTGCCTTCTCTCAATTCTTCTTCATAACAACCCTAGAGGGTACTGCTACAATTATCCCCATTTTACAGATGGGGAAATGAAGGCTCAGAGTGTGCTCGCAGCTGAGAAGCAACAGGATCAGGACTCAAACACTGACCCATCTGACTCCCAAAACCAGGTACTTAAGAGCTTTGCTGAACTGACTTCAAGCAAGAGCCAATCAGACGTAGGTGGGATGTGAGAGAAAGAGCAGGGGTGCGGGGGCAGAGTGCAGGGGAAATAAAGCTCTCAGGAAGACCCCAAGTCACACAGTTGTGCTGAAAGGATACTGTCGCAGGAACTATGAATGACAGCCTCCAAGGAGTCAGGGCCATTAGAAAGACATTCCCTTCCTTAAGCTTTCCAAGGCTCCCTAACTCGTTGGCATGACATCCCAGGCCCTTCAGGAGCTGGTGTCCCCAGCTGAACCCTTCAGCCACTTCTCCTCCCCGCCCCGTCCCCGCTCCCCGCCTGCCTCCCACACACACCCTGCAAACGCTTGTTCTGGCACACACCATGGATTTTCATGCTGCTCTGCCTCTGCAAGTGCGGGTCCCTCTGCTGGCACTGCCTGTGTTCCCAAATGCCCACTCATCTCTTCAGTGCCAGCTCACGGTCACCTCCCCGAAGGGCCTCCAGTAATACAGGTCTGTTATTTGGCATTCATCCTCATCCTCTGGCGGAAAGCTGCCCTTCCCTGTCCTTTGCCTCTGTCTCCCGATCTGGGCAGAAATGACTGTTCCCACTGCCCAGCTCCAAGGTTGTGTCTATGACCCGGATCCGACCAATCAGCAGGCTCCCGGCCCCGGGCAGCAGTGAACGCCACGGGGCTGAGCCTGGGCCAGTGAGGGTTGGCTCAGCCCAGGGGTGTCTGATCACTGAGGGCGCTAAGCTGGTAGTTTACTTGCCTGGAGCAGCTGGGGGCCATCTTCCCCCATGAGGCATTTCTGACAACAATGCTTGAGCCCCTAGGTCCAACCATGCCTGAAGCCACAGACTTTTCCCAAAAATATGCTTTTTTTGTTTAAACTAGTTTGAGAGAGGCCCTCACTAATTCCCATAATCTTCCTCAACTTTCCAAGCCACATTTTTCACTTCCAACCAACTCTGCATTCTCCTTTATTTGCTCCCACCATATGGTGAGTTCGTTGATGTGACCTCCTTATTAAACTGGGCAGGGCAGGGACGGGGACTTACTGTCTCTGTGCCTCCAGGGCCCCAGCCCTGCTCTGACACCCAAGACAGACTCAATGAGGTTTCTGCCCAATGAACCAATGACTGAGTCAGAGACCACGGCGGTATCACCACGTGGCATTCTAGGGGCTGTGTCAGGTGCATTTGAACCTAAAAGAAAGTTACATAGCAGCCAGACGGACCCTGTGAAAGCCTAAGGCAGGCCAGGTCACTCTGCTCAGAGCCCTCCAAGGCTGCCACTTCACTCTGAAAAATGCCACAGTACTTACACTGGCCTTCCAGGCCCTGCAGGGCCTGCCTCCTCGCCCTCGGCTCCGGTTCCGGCCACAGCAGCCTCCTCGCTGTTCCTCCTCACTCCAAGGGCGTCTCAACTCAAGGCTTTTTACTAGCTGTCACCTCTGCCGGGGAATCCCTCCCCCTCCATTCCACTTGCTCCTTCCCTTCCTCCTTTGGGTCTTTGCTCAAACTTGACCTTCTCGGAAGGCCTTCCCTGGCCCTCTACTTAAAGGTGCAACCTCCCACAGCACCCAGCACTTCGTATCACCCTTCCCTGCTTGTTTTTCTCCATCGTACTTATCGCCATCTGAAATAACTACATTTTTTATGTTTTTATTGGTCTCCCGGACCAGAATGTCAGCCCCAAAGGAACAGGAATTGTTTGTTTGTTCAGCTGTCTCTCTGATGCTGAGGACAGTTCCTGGCATACAGCAGGCACTCAGTAAATACTTGTTGAATAAACAGATGATCGAATGAATGAATGAATGAACTCTGGGGACGTAGGGAATTCAGAGAGAAAGGATCTTGGCCCTTGAGCATCTGGGGAGGTCCAGGGCCTGGAAGTGGCCATGCACAGGAAGTGGAGTGAATCCTGGCCCCCAAATTAGGACAGCCCAGCCTGGAGTTAGGAACCGCTCTCCTTTCTATGGCTTTCTTGTCTAAGTGTAGGTTGTATGTGAAGCCGTCTCACACTAGAGGAAATCCCTTAGTCCTCCAAGACCCGCACTGTGGAGGGCAGAGCTTCCAGGGAGAGAATCAGGGGGCAGGTGGAGGGGAAAAAACCCAGGGTTGGGGTTCACGTATCACCAGTTGCAAGTCCCAGGACGCCTTCTGTCGGTGACACCAGAGCAGCATCTGAATCAGAAGTCACGATGCACTGGGTCCCTCCCCGACCAGAGAGGGCTTCCCCTGAAGCCCCAGGGAGAAGCCAGGAGTGAAACAGATCTATGCGAATAGCCTCACCCAGAAGGCTGGCTTCCAAACGTCCCCAAAGAGCTAATACTCACAGAGTGCTCACGATGGCCAGCCATCCCTCCTCTTCTAGAAGCCATACCTGTATCAGCCGGCTTAGTCCCTACAGCAGCCCTATGACACAGGCACTGTGGTCATTCCCATTTTACAGATGAAGCAACCGAGGCTCAGAGAAGCGAAGACATCTGCCCAAGGTGACAGTTTGCAAGTGACAGAGCAGAGATCTGAACTTGGGCAGTCTGACTCCCAATGTTGGGTACGATTAAAAAACAAAAGCTCACGTTAACTGACCATTTACCCAGTGCAGGTGGTGAGCAGAGCACTTTAAGTTCATTTTCTCACCTCCTTCTCACGGCCGCCCTGTGATAATGGTATTTTACAGTAGCCATTTTATAGATGAGGAGATAAAGTCAGAGAGGTTGACAAAATGATGCTCCTGGGAAGTGGGAGGATGGGGGCTGGAACGTAGGTCTTTCTGACCCCCAAATTTATATACAGGGCCCAGTCTCTGGACCCTGCCACGAAGAAAGCAGCCTGGGAACTCTGCGGAGGATGGAGCCTAGTTATTTTGTACCTTCCCCTCCTCCTCCACCACCGCCCAGGCCCAGCCCTGCCCACAGTAGATGCTCAGTGAGTAGCTGTTGAATTAACGTAGGAGGCAGCAGAGGGATAAGAGAGGCAGATGCAAGGGGCTGGGGCCAATCTCAGTGTCCTTGGGAGGACCTTGACCTCTCTGGGCCTCCATCTTCCTCAGGCTCTGGGGCAGTGTGCCCCGGTGAGTAAGAGCATGGACTCTGGAGCCAGAGCTGGAGTTGGTCACCAGTTGTACCATTACCCTGTGCATGAGAGGCTGGGTGGTACAGTGGTTAGGAATGCAGACTGGAGCCAGAGTGCTGGGGTTCTATCCCAGCTTCTCCCCTCCACAGCTGTGTGACCTCGGGCAGCTCACTTAACCTCTCTGAGCCTCTCCATCTATAAATGGGGCTAGTAGTCATACTTACCTCACATGCCTGTCTATCTTATAGCTACTGTTAGCTATTATGATTCTCCACAGAATAATGCAGAGTGAGTTTTTAAAACACACTTCATGCAATGTCCCACCCCAGCTTAAAACCTTTCTCCAGCTTCTCACATCATTTGGAATAAAATCCAAACTTCTCACCATGGCCTACCAAGCCCTGCACAATCTAGCCCCTGCCTACCTCTCTGACCTCCCTTCCACCTCTCTCTTCTTGCCCACTGTGCTCCAGCCACACTGGCCTGGACCACACCAGCTTACTCCTGCCTCAGGGCCTTTGCACTGGCTGTTCCTGCTCTTCTCCCAGATCTTAGCAAGCCCACTTCTTTTGAGTAATATCTCAGCTCCAATGTCTCCTACTCTGGGAGGCCCTCTTTGCCTGCCTACCTACACAATCTGCCTTCCTTATCACTCTCTGTCATGCCACCTCATTATACGTGTTCCTCAGCACCTTATCACTCTCTGAGATTATTTTATTCATGTACTTGTTTATCTTCTCAACTAGAATGTCAGCTCTATGAGAGAGAGGTTTATTATCTATTTTGCTCACCCTGAGTCCCCAGCCCCTAAATCAATGTCTGCCACATACTAGGTGAATGAATGAATGAATGACCCTTTGAGGCTTCTGAATCCAGAGTGAAAAATTGAAACTTTGGTCCCCTGTAGCAACAAAGAAATTCCCTACTCCCCCCACAATTCTGCATGCCAATCTCCTCTGTCTCCCCTCTACTGAATATCTCAGGAGCAGAGGTTTGTCTGTTCGATTCAAGCAGCATCCCCAGGTCTGGGGCACAGAAGTGCTCAGCAAATTGATAATGAATTTGCTCCCTTCCAAGCCTCTGTTTCTTCGTCTGCAGAACAGGAAGAATTTCACTTGCCTGGGCTGGTTGCAAGTCTGAAAGCCGTCAGGCGAGAGCCTGGCCCCAGTGAGCGCTCAGTATCAAGTAAGGAGCCCTCTCGGGTCACTTTTTTCTGGGCAGATAGGAGCACGGAAGGAAGTGTGCCCAAGTCGCTTCCCAGCCCCCAGCCAAGGCCTGCCGTCCGGGGCTCGCCCCCGAGCGGGCGGCGTCGGGCCGGGTGTGCAGCGCGGGGGAGGGCGCGCGGACGCGGTGGCGCCCCGATCGCGACTTACCCATGGCGAGCGGGGCTCCGGGGCGCGCTGCGGGCGCTGGGGGGCCGGGCGCGCATCCCGGGCCGGAGTCCCCGCCGCGGCCGCCCACAAACTTTCCGGCCCGCCTCCCGCCTCCGTCCCTCCCTCCCTCCCCGCCTGCAACGCCGCCGCCGCCACGTCGCCGGCCCTAGCCCCCGGTGCCTGGAGGCGGGACCGAGGGGCGCCCCGGACCGCCCCCGGCTCGGCCGGGCCTGGCTGTGCGCCCCCACCCACCGTCCTCCCCGTGGGGAGGGCAACCCACATGCTGTCCTCCCTGTCCTTCCCGCAGGAAGGGGACACCCCAATCACTGCAGTCCACATTAGTGTGGTCTCTCCAGCCAGCCTGTGTACACACACACTCACACTCGTGTGTCTACACTGACCGGACAGGCACACACGCCCACTTAAGCCGCTCAGACGCTCTCCCGTGGATTCATCGTCCATTCATTGGACACTTAGGTGGGGACACCTCCCAAGTGCCCACAGGCACAGTGCTGGGCCTTGGGGAAGGGCTGGGAGAACAAGATTTTTTTTTGTTCTTGTGGAGTTTGCTTTTTAGTGGAGGAAGGAGAAAAATAACTAACTAAAGGAGCTAGAGAAATGCCAGCCAGTGATAAAGGCTAGGCAGAGAAGTAAACTAGGGTGATGGGGTAGGCATTGGCATTCCCTCCCAGGCCTGGGAAGGCTGTCTGAGGAGGGGATATCCGAGGAGCGCCCAGCACTGTGCCTGTGGGCACTTGGGAGGCGTCCCCACCTAAGTGTCCAAGGAACGGCTGATGAGTCCAGGGGAGAGTGTCTGAGCAGCTGCAGTGGGTGTGTGTGAGTGTCGGGTCAGTGCAGACACATGAGTGTGTACAAGAGCTGGCTGGAGAGTGGGAGGCAGGTTCCAGAAAGACAGAAGAGCCAAGGCCAAGGCCCCGGGGGGAGGGAGCTGGTGGAGTACAAAGAACCATGGAATCGAAGCCAGAGCGTCTGGAGCACAGGGGCTGACGGGTGGAGGGAGATGGCGCCCAAGGGAGGGCTTGGCAAGGACTGGGTCATTTAAGGCCTTGGGATGCCGGGTGAGCAATGCAGATTTTATTCCAACTGACACAAGCAATCACTGGGGAGCTCTCCTAGGT